AATTATAAAGAGGGTTGTTATTATACCGGGAAGCCTAAATAAGGAAAGCAGAATCATACGAGTATAAATTAAAAATATAAAAATAAAATCATGATTTTGAATTTTGAATGGGGAACGAACATCCGTGCTCATATTTTTTAAGAGATTTTATTCTTCATTATTTCTATACACGTCTGATGATGTCATTAAAAATTCTTCCTATGTTCTTAAAATTTTATATAATAACAAATTACTACCGCAAAATAGAAAACAAAATTTTATGGTTTTTTCTATTCTTAAAAATTTTTTATAAGAAATTTTGTTCAATATCATCAACAATGATAAAAAGTTCTCTAAATCAATCAATAAAAATTTTTGTGTAAATAAAAATAATAAATGAAACACCTGTTGATTGCATATATTTAAAAGATGTTTTAGACAAGATGATATACATCGGCTCGTTGGTCTAGGGGTATGATTCTCGCTTCGGGTGCGAGAGGTCCCGGGTTCAATTCCCGGACGAGCCCAAGTGTTGTAATATTTTTTTTTTGTTTTTTAATAAATTTGTATTTTTTTTTGTTGTTATTCTATTAATTTTATTTCAATATACATAAAATTTAGTTTTTTGGTCCCTAGGACGGCGAACATTTTAAAATTAAACACGCACACATTAATAAAATTTGCTTGTGTTTAAGATGATTAAAAATTACATATATAACAAAAATGTTTCTAGAGTATTTCCTCGCATCATTTCATGGAATATTGAAAGAAATTATTGTTGTGTTTTTATAAAATGTTGTTATTGTAATTAATGTTGCTTATAAATTGTAAGCTTTCTCTGTTTGCAACAAAGTAGAAATTTGTTTTTAGTGCCTACGCATTTTTTCTGTCTTCATATTTTAATTTTCCTCCAATAGGAGTATTGCAATATTTTTATAGGTGTATCTACAATATTCTTATAATTTTTTTTATGTTAAAATTAGTAAATTGTATACATTACATTATAAAAATATATATTTGATGGTATAAATGTTTGTATATATGTATACATGTATAAAATAGTATTATGATAGAAAAGAAGCTTTCATCTTACCAGGTTTACTGAGAGATACATACATGAAAGCCTCCACATTTTCATGTATACTTTGTAAAGCACAAATTTGTTATAAATTTCCACCTCTAAACGATTTTTAAGAATCAATTTTATATAACAGTGAAGTTGTACTATCGAACAATTTAATTATTGTTGTCCTTATAAGAATTTTTGTTAAAAATATTTCTTTGTATTTCCAGCACATATTCCATTCATTTCCTTTGTTTGAGAGCAACAAATTCTATAAAATAAATAACAATATTATTAGGAAACCAATTTTTAATTATTATTATTTTATTAATATTCAAATTTCAGAAATTATTATTAGTTTTGTATAAAATGAAAATCACAAATTAATCAAAAAAAGTGTATCAATTCACACAACATAGCATTAATGTTGTGTTAAAAAATCATTTACATTTACCTCTGTAGTATTGTGAAGTCGCGTTGTAGCAATAAATAACAGGAAAATTGTGTATCTCTTTCTTTTCTCTATACAATAAATTCTTTGTTGCTGAGAAAGTGAAAACTAAAGAAATGTTGAGAGAGTAAAAATTGTGTATTCTTGTATACAAAATTAATTATTTATCAACACTGTTGATAACCAAAAATGTTGCTGATGTTATTTTCTTATGTTTTGATAATTTTTTTTATTGTGTTGTATTTGGAAATAATTTTGGCCTGAATTTATGCAATATAATTAAAACTAATTTACGATAATAAGCTTAATTAAAAAATTAATGGTGATTTAAGGAAATTCACCACTTTTTTAGCACAAAAACCTTGTTAGTTTTTTTTTTAATTAATTTGAAATTTTTTTTAATAAATATTTTTCGGTTTGACCTTATATCAAGACCTTACAACTAATTTAAAAAAAATATTACTTAAAATTTAAAATTTAAAAAATACGAATGGCATACGATTGAAATCGCCTTAAAAAACGTATAAATGGCTTCTCACGGTTTCTGCATTAACAAACTTCTCTCTATATTAAAATCACATACATACACTATACACTTAACACTTTCACGCTCCTTCATTTTAATTGTCCTTAAATTTTTTTTATTTTTTTTTTCCACTCTTTTTATTTCTTTTGTAATTTACGTTTATTAATGGACTCTTAAGATTTTATATGACCATTTTTATTATTTTATTCTGATGATTATTTCACATTAATTTTCTCACAAAAATAAAATTGTAAAAAGTATTTAAAAAAAAGAAATTCGAAAACAACAAATAAACAAACGAAAACAATAATAAATCTTCCAACTTTTCTGTAGAATTGCTGCCTTCTTTATGTTGTATTCCTGACCAATTCCTCCTTCACATCCACATTTTCTCTCATACTTTTATATTTATTATTTGCGTTTAGAAATGTGAAAAGAGGGAAATTGAAAGGTGAAACGATGGTGGTGGGCTTTGTTTGGATGATGTTGAATAAAACAAAAACTTCATAGTTTCAAATTGTTTTTGTCGAAACTTTTTTTTTTGATTTTTTACATTCTTTTAACATTTCTCTTGTACTCCATACAATAATGTTAGAAATGAGAAATAAAAAAACTTTAAAAACAACTTTGAAATTAAAACAAAAAGAAAGAAAAAATGAAACAAACACTAAAAACAAATAAAACAAAGTGAACATCGGTTCGGTCCGACTTTTGAACATTTGAAACCCTTTTCTTTTTGGTCCTCTCTCGCAATTGTTTTGTTAATAGAAAAAATGCAAACATTTTTTTTATGTTCTCCCAGTTTTCCTTCGTTTTTTTTTTTAAATCTATCCTGTAGACCCTTGATTTGATATGTCCATAATTTCACTGGAAAATATTAGAATTTTACCTCATTTCCCCCTCCCCCTTTTATTTTTTTTCCTAGTCAGGTTGTGATTTAAAAATAATTTTTTTTAAAATGTGCTGTGAAACGATAAATAGAAACCGTTATATATTATTACTTAACTGGTGAAGACATTAAACGTGCAACGAGTGAGAATGGCATGGCATTATTTTAGAATTGTAACGGTACTTTACGTATTATGTGTAAGTTGTAAATGTTAGAGAAGAAACCTGGCCAGTTTTCAATGTAAATAAGGTTACAAAACAAAAAATATTACAAAATGTATAGAAATTATAAAAATAATTTTGTGGGCCATGAAATCAAAATCACAAATGTAAATACAAAGAATGAGAAATGAATGGGAAAAGAGTGAGCAGAGAGAGAGAGAGAGAGAGAGAGAGAATGAGAAACTTTGATGTAGAAATTTTCGTTTTTTTTTTTTTTCAATTTTTTTTTATAATGGTAAAATTTAACGCCCGTATTTAGACAATTTTTCTATTCTGAATTGTTGTGTCTTTCTTTTTTTATTTCATGTTCGTATTATCCTTTTAATAGCAGAATTGAAGGACGTGTTTACAAAAATTTTTTTTATATAGCTTGTTAAAGTTTTCTGTTTTTTTTTGGGTTTTTTATAATAAGATCTTATTTAACTTTGATATAGGAGAACAACAACTGGATATTTTGATCTGATAAAATGGTTTTTTATTTTGGTTTTTTTTTGGTGCCGGTTTTGTTCTTTTGTTGAAAAAAAAATGTTGAATAGTGTACTGCTTTCGTTGAACATAGATGGCGCGGTTATACAATTTTTATGACTTACTTTTTTATATGAAAATATAAGTTCCTATATTTAGAACATAATAAAATGAGATTATAGTTTTAAACTAATTTTATAATTAAAGAATTTTAATTTTCGATTGAAATTTGAAATTATTGTTTACAATATTTTCTGCCATTATAATTGAATTTTAATTATAAAATTTAAATTTCGCATTTAATTGGGAATTTGATTAGCAAATGCAGTAAATTGTAAGGAAATACATACTAGTTTTTGTATTAGGGTCACCGAAATGTCCGCTATATCTGGCATTAATTTAAACTTCAATCTTTCACACTGTATTATGGTAGATGTCACATAGCAAATTTTGAAATTTCGCGTATCACGCATTTCATTCATTTTACAGTATAATAATTAGGATTTTAAATTTTAATCCAAGCATAGAATTAAAATTTTCTAAAAATAAATTTTTAAAAAATCTTCACTTCTGCCTTGGTAGAACGAAATTACAAATTTAATTCAAGGCGAAAACTCTTCCAACTTTTTACATTTTTAAAATGCTCTTCCTTTTATACACGGTAAAGGATCCTTTTTTAAATTTTCTTTATTTTTTTGCATTAATTCATCTGATTTATGTTTATTATACGTGTAATAAAACAGTAAATTAGCTGTAAATTATTATTATATTTTTTTTATTTTATAATTATTACATAAGAGCCAGCATCCTTTTATATTTTAATTCTTTAATAATTTTCTTTTCTTTTAAACATTAAATCAGAATACAAGTACGAAACCAAAAACGAATATTATTTTAAGAGCCGCACTTATTTCTGTTCGCATTCAAAAAAAAAGCCTCTTCAAGTTGTATGAATGGAAAATCAAATGGCCATTTTGTAACTGTAAAATAAAGTGAGCATAATATGAAAAGTGGGCCCTCTATACACAATTATAATTTGTAAAAAAAATGTTGTTGTATTTATGAATTATTCGTGTGCTCTCGTAAATTGTGTTTTTTTCGAACTTTTGTTTCAAACCTTTTGATTAAAAAGAGAAATGATAACCAGGTTTTAAGTTTAGTTTATATGGTTTGAAGATTCTTGGAAAAGAAAATATAATTGGTTTGTTGTATAAAGCCCTCTGACGGATTTCAATTCAAACGAAATGATACTTAAATTTTCATTCTTGTATTATTAAAATTTAATTATGCACTTGTAATTGTTACAAAAATTTTCTCAACATTTTTTTAAATTAAATTTTAAAGGAAATTTTTTAAGTATACTAAAAGAATTTTTATTTTATTTTTTCTTTTCTTCAAATTTATAGATGATGACGATGGACGTCACAAAAACGGAACCGGGAGTGGTTCCAAATCCAAATTCAAATCAGCAACAGCATCAACAGCAACAATTATGTGCTGGTTGTGGTAAACATATAGCTGATAGATATTTATTAAGAGCATTGGATTTATTATGGCATGAGGATTGCCTAAAATGTGGCTGTTGTGATTGTAGATTAGGTGAAGTTGGTTCAACATTATATACCAAAGGAAATTTAATGCTTTGTAGGAGAGATTATTTAAGGTAAAATTGAAAATATATGTAATTTAATATAATGTTAAATAAAAATTTTTATTTTAAATATTTTAGGCTGTTCGGTAACACGGGTAACTGTGCTGCTTGTAATAAAGTTATTCCAGCTTTTGAAATGGTTATGCGATCAAAACAGAATGTTTATCATTTGGAATGTTTTGCTTGTCAAGTATGCAGTCATAGGTAAGTTATTTTTATATAGTCACAGGTCATAAGATCATGTACTATTTAAAAATTATCTTAAATACCCATATATTTCCGCTCAGCATCGAATTCTGAGTTGATTTAGGTTTGTCTTTTCTCAGTTATCTGTTCGTTTTCTTTAATTTTACCCGTTTCATTTTCAAATTGAATATATCGTTCTATATGATTAATTTTTTTTTTTTGGAAACCATTTAAAACGTGTTACCATAATAAACTAATAAAATATTAAAGAGAATTTTATTAACATAAAACAAATCTTCTTGACAATTTAACGACCTAAATAGGATAATAAAATTCAATTGAAAAGAACAACCAAAAAAAAATTATTCAACTATAGATTAAGATTAAAATTGAATTTCTATAGGATCTTTAAATAATATAAAGAAAAAATCAAATTTTATTTAAATTGACCTAATAAAATTGCTCCCAAAGTAGCCGTTTAATATTGAAAATATCCTTGTTATTTTCCAAAAATATTTTAACATTAAATAAATTTCTTTAAGAACCTCATAGAAAACAATCATATTAAATATTAACAAGAAGAGCAGGACATATGAAAATTGTTGTTTGCGTTCTTATTTTTCAATAATTTTTCTTCCATTCTTTTGATCCTTTTATCCACCTTTCAGAAATTTTCAAATTTTCACGGAGAATTTTTTGCCAAAGAAAGGGTACAAAATTTTTATAGTTATCCCAAAAGACCACTCTGCATATGTTTATTTTCACATAAAAAAATATTTTGCTTATTTTTCATTTCAATTTGTATATACGATTGTTAACACCGGCATAAAATTTGAAAGGGTTTGAATATGATATCCTTTTTTCTTAAAATATTTATGATAGAAATCGTTGAATTTATTACGGTTAACCAATTTACGTTAATTTTTTCTTGAAATGTCACTCAAGAGATTTTCTCTAAGAAACCAATTTTATTTATTTTCAATAAACAACAATAAATACAATGTTAACGACTTGTGATATTAAACAAGGACTAAAATATTTGTGCTAAAAAAAAATTTTAATATTTAAATGATTTGTTTTAGTTTCGAAAATTTAAAATTATGAAAATTTGAGCTGTTTGAAATAATTAAAAATTTTATAAGAATTTTTATAAATTACAAAACAAGTTTTCTTACCTCAAGAAAGATGCACAAATTTTGTGTATTCTGAAGAATTTCTCAAAATTTTTTAATTCTTTGTACAATTATTAGGTAAAGGATTTTCCCAAACGCTTATTCTACCTTTAAACTTCCTGATGGCTGTCTGAGTATTTCGTTAAATACCTTGCTATTCCTCTTTAGTACTTGTTCCATTAATTTCTCCCCTTTTTTTATTTGTTTTGCTATCAAATCACATTGTGTTAGTGGTTATCGGCTTATTGCTTAACTAATAATTCCAGCTATGTATGTGAAAGCGCATTTATCAGAGAATGCTTGTATTCTTGGTATTTCTGTTTTATTTTTTAACCACTTTTTATTCTCATATTAATTGTTAACTTTAGACATACATAGTTGGTTTTACTTCAAGAATTTGTGCAATCCTGTGAATATTATTCTAACTCAATTTGATTTGTTTTTCATGTCAAATTCTATTTCTTTGTGAATGCTTGCTATACTTCTTAGATAATTTAATTTTCGACTCCTTCTAACACTCAATTTCCAAGTTTTGGCTTTCCTTTGCCAAAATTTCCGTATTTTCAGATTAACAAATTTTTGCTGCACATCTTTACAATATCCTTGCTTCCTAAAATATTAAAGAAAATAATTTAATTTTTTTTAAATGACTGCTTAGATATTTTTTTTTTACAAAATTTCAACCTAACCAATCTAACCAAAAATTGAATTTCAATTTCAAATATTTCATTTGAATTTTTAAAAGTCTATTGATATCCTTCTATCTTATTGTTATCCTTGTTATTTGTAAGGATATCGAATTGGTTTCAATAGATTTTTCTATACTTTTTTTTTTTGTATTTTCATTTCCATTTCAATTTTTGTGTTAACTTAATAAAATATGCTTGAGTGAAATTTTTTGAATAAATAAAAAAATGGTCAGTTTGTACAAAAATTTCATTTTACATATTTTTTTGTTTTAGCTTTAAGTAAAAATTTACATTTATTTTTGGTAGTAGCAATTTTCAAATTTTACAAATGAAATCAATTGAATATTCAATTTTCATATTTATTACAATTGAATTATTAATATTTTTCCAAGTCTAGCGCTCAGGTGTGTATGTAAAGTTTCCGTTTTTAATTTTTTACTGAGGTGCAAATGGTTATAAAAGTGCTGTTAAAATTTTTATCAAATTTTCAGGTCATTATAGTTATTATCTAGCGGCTACATTCATTAATTAAAATTTGTTTACAATTAATTTAAAAAATTTGTCACTACTCTTCATGTCCGAAATACTGTAAACCCTTTCAATTATTAATCAGTAAATCATAATCTTAAATTAAAGTCAACAATCCAAAGTCATGTTTGAAAATCCGAAACTTAAATGAAATTCATACGTTTTGCTACAAATGCACTCGATTTACTCGAATACACTCGAAAATACTTCATAAACTTGATATTTCAAAAAATTTTCCATCCAAATTTTATTTTAAAAATTGAAAACTAAATATTTGTTTAAAAAATTTCGTAATCATTGAAGCGGATTTCAATTAAAATTTACACACTTTACGAGTACTTCAATATTTTTCGAGTAAATTTTTTGTTTAATAACATTTTACTTTTTTTTTAAAAAAATCTTGTAAATACGAGCTCAGTTTATGTCACTATTGTATTTAATTAAAAATAAAAAGTAATATTTTGTTTTTGCTTCTATAAAAATCCTTTCAAATAATATGCAATTTGACTTGTGTGCGGTTCACCAAACAATTTAAGAATAACATGATGAAAAAAATGTTTTATAGTTCATCTTTTATTTTTTACTCCCCCATTCCTTTTTTCGTCTTCATTCTTCTTTGCTCTTCTAACGTACATAATATTTTTAATTCTTCATTTTGCACATTCCCACTCAAATTCCAAATATTTTTGATTTCATCACATAATTGTAATCCTGATTGCTGTTACATGAAAGAAAATCCTATGAATTTCCTGTGTTATTTGACAATTATTATCAAATGAAAGCTTTTCTCTAGATATGTACATATTTTGTCTAAATCTAACAGATTTTTTCTGACCTTCCTGAACGAATCTTAGTGTTAGTTGTCTGAATGTTGATCTTTGTTGCATCTGATCTTGGTCGCATTTTCAAAGCGGACTTTCATAGAAAAACAGACATTGAACATCCAAATTTATGAATTTCATACAAGCAAATAAAAGCGGCAACATTTTTCCAAAAATTATGACGAGGAGCATTTTTTCATATTTCTTATTAATTTTATTTTATATTTTTCAGTGTTGACATTCACAATAGCTTACGCTATCGCTTATAGTGTATGCAGCAAATATATTTTATTTTTTTTTTTAATTTTATTTTTTGAATATTTTAAAAAATAATTTGAAATTCCATCATATATTAACCATTCCAAAATGATAAATAATTAAATTGGCAATATTCAATAAAAAAAACAAAAATATAATAACAATAATCTCATCATAATAACAAATTTTCGAATTTAAAAAAAATGTCCTGTACTCCATTTAGTGAAAAATCCTGAAATTTCAGATTTGATCAATGAAAAACAAATCTGAAAAAAGAAAAGCAAAGATTAAAAATCAAGAAAAAATCAGTTACTGTACAATATTTCCGATTATTTTGCTGTTTTTTTGGTGGAAATTGTCCTGCCACATGTTGATTTTAAAAAAAAAAATCAAAGTTATTCAAAAAGAGGCAACACACGAAATAAAAAAGAAAATATTAAAGAATTGTGGAATAAAAGTCGAAAATTACTATTGAAAATCAAAATGACTGGTTGAGAGAGAGAGAAGTGAGTTACTTGAAGCGTATTATTGGAGCGGGATTCCGATTCGATTGAAACAAGAACCAAAAATAATATTGTTAAAGCAATGATTTTTTGTCAATTTTTTTTTTTTTTTTAGTTTTCCACCAAAAAGAAAATGTTAAGCCGCAAAAGTACATAGAAGTGCACACAAACCATGTATATACAAAAGTATTCAAATTTCCGCAACAAGAGAAAATGCTCTTGTCTTTTTTTGTTTGATTGTATTTGTTCAGATTTTTTTTGCTTCTGTATTTGTAATTGTAACCAATTTCCGGTTGAAAACTTCGTTTATATTTTCTTTTTTTTTTCCATTTTGGAATTTTTTTTTTTCTATTTTTTTTGCCCAACAGATCTTCAGTTTGGTTTATTTTTTCATTTGCGTTGTTGATTTCTTCTGCAAGACTGAATCCAATTGAATATTCAAGGATATTTTGATATTGTGATGAATGTATATGCAACGGGATGATGGTTAACTAACTCTTCCATATAAGTTTTATATTTCGTTTCCCTTATTTTTGAATTGTTTTTTCATTTTTTTTTTAAGTACATACAGTAAGTAGGCTTATATAGAAAAGCGACAATACTTATAAAATATTATTGCTGCCCGGAAAAATATAAATTTTATAGCCTTACAATATTCAATAACAAGAGTTAAAAAATAATAAAGAAAGCAGAAAAATAGAAAAAATGAAAACATTGTAACATTTAACGGTAATGTCGCTTATAATAGCCACTTGATGGTATTTAAAAGCCGATTTTCCATGCATTTTAAATAAATAAAATGAAAAAAAAAGTTGAAATAAAATTTCCTCCCATATTAAAAAATTAAATTTGCTTAAATCATTTTTTAAAATGAATAATGGACAGGTTCTTTAATTTTTTATAATGTATATGTAAATTCTTGTAAATCATTGGAATTCCTAAAGAATTTAAGTGTTGTAGGCAGCAGAAATAAAATTACAAATTTAATATTTGAATTTCAAATTAAGTTCTTAGTTTGGAAATTTTGAATAGGCCAAAATGAAATTTTCAATCGAATTGTCAAGAAATTTTTTGATAATAAATTACAAAAATTGCTCATTGTATACCTAAAATATTTCGTATTAATTACATGAAAGCTTGAATAGAACGCAAAATATACCTAAAAAATCACATACATACCAATTATTAGCTTTGAACTGTTTATTATTCCTAATTACTTTATTGATTGGGTTTCGTCTCCAATATTTCTTGTTAAAATTTCCATTGATATCAAATCCTCATTTGCTCTTAATTTTTGCAGCTCAAATCAATAGCTTATTAAAATTTCCAGTAATTCTTCTCTCTTTCATTATTTAATTACTTGTACATTTAATTAAATTGTCTGAAGTAAAATATTTGAATATTTTAAATCATAGCGACATTTTCAAATTATATTTTTATATTTTGACAATATAAATGACACATGAATTATGATATTGACTTTAACTAAATATGTAAATAAAAAGTTATCGTTGCCAATAGGATTGCAATCACATATTATTCACAATAGACAATTACATATTTAATTTATTCACAATATTATTAATAAATTTTTTATGAACCGTGTCAATTGAAAGTTTTTGATTAAAATTTTTTATTTAATTTGAAATTATTTTAAATTTTACTTTCTTGCGGAGATTTTATTATAAATTCTCAAGCCTTTAATTAATATTCTCTATTAATTCTGCAAAAAAAGAATTATTTCACAGTTCTAAATGATATTTTTTTATACATTTGTAGTGGAAGGGGTTAATAAATTCTTTATGAAATTTTAAATAGAAAATAATAACCTAGACATTTACTCAGATGGTCACAACAAAAAGAAAATAAAAATAAAATATAACTGGGGACCACAATTTCAAAGTAATCCTTGCTATTTTTTTTTTCCATACTACTGGAAAAAATTCAAAAATTACTCATTTTTGTATTTTTTTCAGATGCTATTAATTTCATATTTAGTGGGTGGTTTAATTGAAATTTGATATCGTTTTGTTGTAACGAAATTGTTTTTTTTTTTTGTAATCAAGTAAATTTTTTTCTCATCATTCAGAGATTAATTCAGTCTCATATGTATGTATGTTCACCCCATACTACATAAAACAAGGAAAAAAAAATTCTCGTTGATGACTTAAAATTATTAATTTATATTTTTGGATGGAAATTGAAAAAAGCCAAACCGGATATGAAAAATTTTTTTTTTTGGCAAAAATTGACGAAAGGGTTAAAAACAATTAGATGAATCATTGAATTAATTTTCAATTTAAAAGTAATTTTTTTTTTTTTTGAGATTTTTTGGAATTTGAAAATTGTGATGATTAAGTATTTTGAATTCTTTTGCAAATGTAGCAGGTATTTAATAATTCACGAGAATGCTAAAGTTCGTAAACTGTCAAAGTAATGTGTTTATACACTAGATTTGAAAATATTGGTTTTACCAAGAATATCTATTTGAAATTAATTCTTCTTAAATCTTGTCCAATTCAAGAACTTTTAAATACAATTCTCTGAACAAATGCGATGCTTTATAAATGATCTCAATTATTTTACATTTTTAACATCATTTACATCCGAATTAAAATAACTTTTAACTTTAATATTTTGACGGTTCATAACGCAAACATTATATATTTTTAAGCCACTTAACCTTTCTTTTACTTAATCTTTTTAATTATATACATAGTTATAAATATATAGATGCCAAAGTTGTTCCATTTGCCATAATAATTGTACATATAATATGAATATTTCTGGGATTATTTCACGAATTTTATTTTGTCATCATTCAGCCTTTTCAATTCTTATCGTGCAATGCAAAGTAGAGAATTCTAAAATATATAAAAGTAGTGTAGCATATAATAATACAATATAAGTAAGTGACATTTTAACGTTAAAACAATTGTCTAGAAAATTATTTGCTGGTTTCTTTTTTCTTTATAGTTTTAGTTTTTCTCAAAACTTTTTCCATTTAATCTCATATATTATGAGTATACAACACAGGATGTATAGAATTTCCTGAAGTGGAAATTCATACAATCACATATGAAGAGAGGAAGAGATTAAAAGGAGGAAAACTTCCTACATGGTAATACGCTAAAAATCATAGTAATATAAAAATCTTTCGTATGTCAATGTTTTCGTTAAATTGAAGTTAAAGTCAAGTGAATTCAACTATACGCTCATATTCGTATTACACATGGTAAAAGATAATTCATATTTAAAAATACTAATTTCCGAATTGTCTTTCGAGAAAACTTCAGTAACAATACAACAGATTATAAGCAAAAAAAGAAAAGAAAAATCTCAAAAATGTAATTTAAAAAATTGGCGAGATTAAATTAAAATAGTGAATAAAAAAAAAAAGGAGTTGCCGCCGAAAGCAAATTTTCCTCTTGGCTGCATGACACAATGATAAAAGAAAGGATATTAGTTTTTTTTTCTTGTTTTGCAACAAATACAATTTTTGTGTCCTTTTTTATAAAACATAAATGAGAAAAAGAATGAGGAACCAGGATATATGGAAATTTTTCTACTTTTTAGTTTCTTAAACGATTTTAATTTATAAAAGTGAATTTTGAATTTTGCATACTTGTGTATATAGGATAAGGATAATCTGTTGATTTGCAGATGTGGTTAAAATTATTACACAAAATTTAAGAAATTTGAAAGGAAAGAGTAGCAATGATACTAAAAGGATAACACAGCAAATAATAATACAAGAGTTGTGTTAACTTTTTGATAGGAACTCAAAAAGTTAAAATGTTATATTAACAAGTTTCTCTTCTTCTCTTTTTTTAAATGTGCAATACAATATAACTTTTAAACTTTTTCAAGAAGAACTTGTCATTTTATAATAGAGAGAGTGTCTGTCAGTTGATTTCTTTTTAACGCGAAATTTCAAACTGAATTTAATTTGTAAATTGTGCAATGAAATTTATGGTATAGCGAAATGTGTGATTATTTTTTACTTATTCCTGAAAATATTGTGAACGTATTCAAATTTCCCTGTTAACTAAAAACAAGAAATCGAAAAAAGGTGGAAGTTCATTCGAATAATCGTAGAATATTCAAAAATTTTAAATTTATTTTAAAAATATTCTTAAATACGATAAAATTTCATATTTATTTGTATTCAAGAATTCTATAAGTTGACGGACTTATCAAACAATTAATCAATCCAAAACCAAAATAATAATTAAAATTTTTTTTCATTTCAGATTCTGTGTTGGTGATAAATATTATTTATGGGAAAATAAAATTCTATGCGGTTATGATTATGAAGAACGTTTAGTATTTGCATCACTTGCCAATCATCCAATGTTAAAACGGCAGGCAAGTACATTAGCACAAGGATCACCCCCACCGCCACCACCAAATGGCGGTTTAATGGGTGGTAATACACAATTAAATGATCAAGGATATGCAAATGCTGGTGGTGGTGGCGGTATTCATAATACGGGAAATATGATGAATGGACCACAACAACAATTACAAAGCGGTCAACGTACACCAGGTGATCATAATAATAATAATGGACCCCAAACACCAACATATGGTAGCGGACCAAATGGTACACCAACACACATGAAAAGTTCATTAGGAGCTTCAAGTTAAATTAAAAAAAAATTTATATAAGTTAAATTTAAATAGTGAAAAAGGAAGATTAAATAAAAAAAAACATAAAAAATCAATATGAAAAAAAAATATTTAAATTATCATTATAGAAATTAACTTAATTTAAGTTTAATATCAAGAAAAAAAAAAAACAAAATAAAATCAATATTTTAAAAATAGAGTAGAGAAATCGCCACAAAAAAAATGAAGGAATTATTAAGTAGTAAAATGTCATTCAAAATTTTAAAACTGCATGTGCGTATTTGTGTATTTTAACCAAAGATATAAAAAATATTAAAAGAAACAAATAAAATATTAAAAGAAATAATAATCGAATAGAAACAAAAGAAAAAAAATTTGAAATAAATCAATCAAAATTTGACAATTGACATTTTAATGACAGAATTTTAAATTAAAATTAATTTTATTGTATTTTGACATAATTAATTTCTTTTCCGTTTAAAATGATAAATTTTAATTAAGCCAACTAAAATTCAAGTTTAAAAAAAGAAAACTTGTGTTGAAATATTGAAAATGTATTAATTTTCTACCTAAACAGTTGAAACTTGAGTCAATAATGACGTTCCGGTTTATTTTTCTTAAATCATTTAAAAAATGCATTGCTCTTTGCTGTTGAATTCTTAAATTTTGCAATAAAACACAAAAAATCTAATTAATAAATTGATTTTTAAAAATATGTCAACAAATTGTCAATGTCAAAAATTCCTCTTCATTTTTTTTTCTATTATTTTAGAATTTATAGTAAATTTTAATATTTGATTATTTTGTTCATATACATTTAGTAAACTTGTTGTAAATATTTAACTGTTATAAATTTTTAGGATTTTGTGCAATCTTAATTGTTTTTCTCATTATTTTTGTATATTTAATTTAGAATAAATGATGAAATTTTTCAATTAATTAATATTAAAAATTTAAATTAAAATTACTACTCATTTATTTGATTATTATTTAATTACAATTTCCAAAATTTAATACTTAATTTTAATTTAACAGCATTATAAATTAAAATTATCTCAATAGTATAACAAATTTTTGTATTAGTAAAAATACAACATTGAAATCTAGTGCAGAACATCTGCCATTTTTTTTTATTTTCTAGTAAAATTGTGCCAAAAATCACAAAAATAAATTTCTTCTGTAAAAATTGATTTAAATTATTATTAATTTCATATAAATTTTTCATTAATTTCACTATTTTTATTAATATTATTTTATTATATTTCAATTAAAATTAATTTATAATTCTTATTAAAAACCCCACCGAGTTCCTACATACAAAAAAAAAGAGAGATATTCGTACGAAAACTTTTGGTTTTAATGTGCATCATCTTTAACAGATTAAATAAAATTTATTGAATTTTTAATTGATAATTTTTACAGTTTTTAAATTTACAAATATCTTCAAATCAAATTTAATTTATTTAATATGAAAATGACAATGTCTGTCATTCTAAGTATGAAAACAAACTTTCATATCAGTAAAATGTTAGCAATAAATTTCTCCAAAATCGTAGTGTTGCCGATATGAAAAAATTCATATTTTCATATTTAATTTTTAACATTTTGTAATTTTGTTTCAGAATTTTCTCTTTTTCTTAATTATAAACCTCTTCTACCTTTATGTAATTTACAATTTAATTTTTAATTTTAATTTTAAAAAAAAAATCTAATTTCTGTAAATAAATATATTGTTAATTATTTTTATAAGTTTTTTGTAATAAAATTTCATAATTTCAATTTATGAACCAATATTATAAATATAAATTATTAGTTTTAAAATTAATTTTTAAGAGAAAAAATTTATAGATTTAAAGAAGATATTTTTTAAAATTACATATTTGATTTTGATTTACTCAAATTTTGTAAAATATGTATGTATGTATGTATTTATGAACATTTATTGTAAAAAAAAACTTGAAAAATGTTCAAACTTCAAAATTAATGTCTTTTGACATACTTTTTGGAATTTGGTAAATTTTACGAAATCTGGTGTTTACAGTAGCAATTTTTTATTTTGACAAATTGACATTTATGTTACAGTAGATTTTTGAAACACAATATTCTTTCATGACGAAAAAATTTTTTGAATAATTTTGTCAAATATTTTAAAATATTTAATTTTTTGTTAAATTAAGAAAATATAAATTTTTCTTTTTGTATATTACACTGTTCTAATTGCTAATTATATGCCTGTATATAAAAAATATGTACGTTTAAATTTAGAAATTCCAATTTAAGTGTGTCATTAGCTTAATTTTTTAAAAATATATAATTAAAACCCCTCCAAATCGGTTGTATACGGATGAGAAAAATAATAATTTTAGTCTGTGTTCTAATCTAAGGATATTGTAAAGTACTACAAACATATTGTTTACATAAATACATTATTAAATTCGAAAATATGTCAATTTGTGCAAATATTATGAATTATTACGAATTAGTTTTGTTCATATTTAATTTTATATGAATAAAATTTAATTTGTCATAATTATGACATACTCCAATTATCAAAAACGTCTTGAAAAAACTCAAATATTACTAAAATTAATATTAAACTCAAACTCTCATAAATATAAAAATTTTGACATTCGAGCGCAATATCGTAAAATAAATTAATTGAATTTTAAAAGTTTTGTGTATTATTTAACTTTGACAAGTTTGACAAATTTTCGAATTTCGATTTAACAAAACATGTTATACATAACTGTTACATTATGTATAAATAAATAATTTAAAATAATTTTAAATAAAATTTAATATTTAATTAGTGTAAAAAATTTTTAAAATTGTTTTTATTATAATTAATTATAAATACATAATATAAAACAAAATTAAATTAAAAGTAAAAGCAAAAAAAAATCCGAAATAAAAAATCTTTTTAATATTAATTTTTTAAAATTTAATTATTTTTATAATTTTATTGTAATATCGTATTTATAATTTTCAATTTAATTTTTTTTAAATTTAAATAAATTTACAAAAAAAAAAAACAAAATAGGACTTAATTATAAAATAACGAATGATAAGTTTATAAATGTCAAATTTGAATATGTCATTAAAATGTGTATAATAATAACGGTATATGTGTAAAAAAAAAAATTAATAAAAAAATGGTGAATAATTTTTTATTTTATTGTTTTGTTAGATTTATATTTTATTATTCTATTAATATTATATAATAATTATTATTAATTTTTTTGCTTTTAGAATTTCATTAAAAATTAATGAGAAAAAAACAAGAAAAGCAAAAAATTTACATAAGTAATGAATGGTATAAATTAAAGTAATTTAAAAAAAACAAAAAAAAAAAAAACAAAAATTTAAAAATAAATAGAATATTGAAACCAAAGGATTAAATAAAAAAAAAATTAAATTAAATAAATATTTAAAAAATTTAAAATAAAATCTTTGATTTTTAAGATTCCCATTTAAACATGTTTGATAGATCGACAACCAGCACCACCTACAAAGGCACGGAAAGAAGTTCAAAAATTAGTTAAACATTTGAATGAATTAATACCTACTTTACCACAACATCATTAATCTGACGTTCATTTGAATCACGTGAATTACGTCAAATTACTTTCAATTGCAAATGACAGTCATATCCAAATAAAGCAAATTTGGCAGATGATGATGAATAAATAAATGATAAAGAATAAATAAAAATTTCTTTTCACTTGCCTGTTTTCCTTTTTTTAAACCAGAATGAGTGATTGCAGTAATAAATGAATAAATGCAAAAAAATTCAAAAAAATGACAATCATTTGCGTTAGTAACAAGAACTGAAATTCATAACAAATGACGTTCTGGCAAAGGTCCATACTCCCTTCTCTGAAATATAAAAATTATCAATAAAAAATATTGACGTGAAATAACTATAACACAATTTCCATATTTCACTTCTGAATTAATACTACTTTGACAGTTTGTTAGAAAAGTTCAAACTGTTAAAAAAGTTAGTACTATTGTGTCAGTATATATTAGTTAAAAAAGAAATTACTAGCAGAACATTTGGAATTTTAATCGAAATAGTAGTCTCATCTTCCTTATTGCTGGTCATTATGAATATCTCCACTAACAATACTGTTAGTTTCGTTAGTGCAGATTAATCAATTACCAGTATTATAATTTTTGAATTTCTACTAGATATTTATTATAAAAGACTAAGTAAACTTTAGAGTCTAGAATTTTTTCTTAAAATTTAGGAATTTGAAAAATCTGTTAATAGTTTTGCTAATTTTGTACTCTATCTATTCTAATCTATTCAGACTCAATACATTTACAACCACAATTGAAGTTTATTTAAACAAAAGTAAAGATAGTATTGTCGCAGTGATAATTTTTTTATTAAAGTACCAACAGTAATTATTAATAACACAATAACATTAAAATTAGATAACGCAACAGAAGAGTAATAGTGTAATGCTCATAAAATAGAAATGTGCACAATTACCACTCAATATTGTGACGTTTTTGAAAGCAAGCTCTAGTTGCTTTAATAAAAATATTAAATTTTTTAAAATATTTTCAAAAATAATACAAGTGTAACCTATTTTTAAGAAAAAATAACAAAAAATACATTAATGAAACACTTAAATTTCCTATTGAATTCTAAATATGCCTGTTAACAAACACAACAATAATAATATATTAGAGTTTATGTAATTATTGTGAAAAGAACAAAAAATATCCTTAAATGATATCCTTGTTTTCGCTTTATTTATTACATTCATTATTTTCATATACATATTTTCGCATATACTTATTTGTATTTAAGTTTAGTCTTTATATTGTATTTGTAATCATAAAGAGGGTCTTATCAGTCTTATATTATTGTTGTTATATAACAATTTTAATGATTGCAATAAAAACCTACATACAATGCAAAAGATAAGGAAAGAGAAATTTATTTTATATCATTTTATTTCTCTCTTTTTTCCTATATTATTTATGTACACTCAACTTATACAAGTACATACTATGTGTGTACTTGAATGTAGCGTCGATTTTATTGTTTAATTTAGTTAAATGAAAAGTTCTTCTTTTCAGCTCGATTATACCAAAAAATATTGTACTATCATCATCAACATTATCATCATCAGCATTATCATCATCATCATCATTATCATCATCATCATCTTCTTTATAATATACAATCATTATCATGCTGTCTCGCTCGCAAAACACAAACCATTCAACTTGAATCGAATTTTCTGCCACACACACACTTCATATTTTCCTTTGAAAGGATAATAATATAATCATAAATATCAT